TTTTCAATTTTATATATTGATTTTTCCGAAATTTCTTTTTTCAGATTTTAAATTTTTAAAAAATTTTCAAATTTTCTGATTTTTCCCTCTTTTTGAAATTGTGAATTTTTAAAAAACTTTTTATTTTGTTCGAATTTATTGGGAAATTATTTTTTTTTTTACAAATCTTTAGATTTTTTTGAATATTTATTGTTGCTTTTAATTTTCAGATTTTTTGAAAATTTTTTAGGGGTTTTTAAAATTTTTTAGATTGTTTTTTTTTTTAATTTTTCTAGATTTTTAAAAATTTTATATTTTTTAAAAATTTTTAGAATTTTTATTTTTTTTGAAAATTTCACTGTTTTTTAATTTTTCTTTTTTCTTTTTTTACATTTTAGAAAATTTTTAAAATTTGTCATACTTTTTAAATTTTTGGGAAATTTTTTGAAATTTTTAATATTTGTTATCTTTTCTTTTTTTTTTTTAATTTTTTAGTGTTTCAAAATTTGTTTTTGGATTTTTTTTTCAAATTTTTAGAATGTTTTTAAAGATTTTTCTGATTTTTCTATTTTTAGAAATTTTATAGATTTTTCAATTTTTTTTAATTTTCAAGATTTTCAGAAGATTTTTTTTTTAAAAATTTTAGTTTTTTGTAATTTTTTTTGACAATTTTTTGCTAATACCAACTTATAATGATGATGTAATGATAATCGAATATTTTGACACATGTTATATATATTTTTTTAGATATTAATGATACGTCAGTAACTTAACTAAAAGCATCAATCCAAAATATCAAAATATGTGATAAAATGAAAATTCAAATATGTTATTGTAAATTTTATTTGTATAGATAGCAAATTAATAGAAATATGTAATATATTAGTTTTTTTTTTTGTATTTAACCCTAAAAATATTTATAAATGAACATGAGTTATTGTTTGTATTTAACTCTAAAAATATTTATAAATAAATCTATCATAAAATTTATTAATATATATTTTTAAGAATTTGATAACATTCATTATTTAGTAATGAATTATCCTCGTGATTGATAATATATATTATTTATATATTAAGAGTGCATAAAATAGTAACCGTTTATAATAATATCTACGCTGTTTTCTATTAAAAAAAAAAAAGACATAAGTGGTCAATAGGTACACATCGTGACTCACACAACCTTCTCAAAGCCCATATTTCTGGCGAGTAGTGCCAGTCCTCAAACGACGGAGGCAAGTCATGCGCCAAAAAAAACCACAAGCATGAAAAATTGAGCATGTGAGTTTGGTCTGTGTCCACCAGCACATTAATTTATTGCAAAATGCTAAAATGAAATATTACTTTTTCAAGAGTAAATTTTATTATTGATCACAAAACTTCTACCTTATTCTCATATACTTCATTAAAATTTAATTTGTACCAAACAAATTATTGAATTAAAAAATTCTTTCAAAATTTTCGCTCCGTGATAAAAGCATAGATTGCATCGAACAAGTTTGCATTTTTAAATGCTAGCCGTTCCGTCTATTTAAGCTCGTCATGTAACTTAAATTTATTAATATTCTGAAATATATTTTAATAAAAATAATTTTATGAATAAATTAAATCGAATTTAAATTTAAAAATTTTTTTTGAGACGCAATATAATCTTATAATATGTAATTAAATTTTAATAATCCTTGACTTAGTAATAAGATTTTATACCATTGTTTATTTGATGACTAGATACAAATTAAAAATTGATGTCATTTATGTGATGAAAATGAAATATGAAATTGAAATGAATCTGAAAAGAAGAAGAAAATTCAACGAAAATTATGGCAAAGTAGACACGTGAAGACAATTGACAAGCGGTCACGGAGTCATAGTCTGGTAAAAGTTTTTAGTTCCATTGTTTTCTTGTTTCGTTCTTGAAAATTGATGGAGAATGTTATAATGGAGAGGGGACGGGTGACGAATATGATGACTTTAGCTTTATGGATTATGAAGCGGCCTACATGTCTTTGGCCTCACATTTTGCAGTAGAAGAATGATTCCTTTGATTATTAATCAAAGTCAACAATCATCTTTCACCCGTGTGGGGCGTTTTCTTTTTGAGGTAGCGAAAGAATGAGTAGGGTAGGGGTGGGGTGGGGAGTGGGGGAGGATTTCAGCTTCGCGTGTTAAATACGTAGCTAGTCAGAAGTGGAGTACGGCTTCATTTCGCTTTTATGGTAAGTATGCGTCAAATTCACGAAACGACTACACTGATTCATGCATCCTTTAATTTATCATTAAACTTTACTGTATTCATAATTTATCAGTTACAATCAATGTAAATTGTTTTAATACGTCAAATCGCAAAATGATTAAAGCTACATTTGAAATGCTCTTATTATATCAAAAAATATGTTTTACGAAAATACATTTATAAAACAAATTTTCTGATGCAATAAACATTCTCGTCGAAATGGATTTTTATTTCAAAAACTGGTTTAGGCAGGTAGATCCAAAACATGAAGTAGAGCATTTATTATTATTATTATTCAAAACAAAAATTGTTTATAATATGACCTTTACCGGTAATTTTATTTTATCTCTAATTGGAGAAGTTCAATTTGTACAAATAGTAAACATAAAACTTTCTTTAAATTGTAATTTTCTAATAATAAACTTTTTTTTGATGATATCATCACTTGTATTTTAATTTTATTTGAGTTTAATTATTTTAAATAATATTAAAAACACATACTCTCCCATCATTTTTATTTTTCAAATGCTTTCTTTAAAAGATCAAAATTTTGTTGATAATAAAATGAAAATTCTCTTATTATTTTTCTAATAATAGTTTCTAAACATACTAAAGCACCCTAATTAATGTTGAGATAATGAATATTCATATTTAAGCGGTGTTAAGTACTATTATATATTTTGCTCGTAGAATTTGAATTTATTTTTTTATAAAAAAATTATAATTTAAAAATAAAATAAAATAAATTATAAATATTAAAATTTAAAATTTAAATATAATGAATGAAACATCTTAAAAATGATTATATAAAAATAAAATAAAATAAAATTTAAATTTATTTTAAATTTATATTTAATATTAATCTTTTTATTTTTATAATAATCAATTGAGTCAATTAATTATTAATCGAATGTTGCAAACAATGATAAGAATAAACCAACGATAAGATGCCAAAATCAGAAATTTTAAATATTTTGTTTATTTGGGGATGGGAGAATCATCTACTAAAAACTTTGATTGTTAGAAAAAGTCATCATGATTTAGTCGTGAAATTGAAATACTTAGTTTATATTTGGTTAATGGAATAAATTTTTAGGTATTAGCCACAACCGATGAGGAATTTCTTGAATAAGCAAAAAAAAGTAGTGGGAAGTGGTGGCTGGCGAGGGGGTGACCTTGTCTCAGTTGTTTGTCTAATCCCGTGAAAGATGGGGTGGAATGGAAAGGAACGGAAAGGATCGTGGTTTGCTCACCCGCCAAAATTACCCGCCAACGACAAAGGCCATGACAGGGGACCCACAACGAAGGGGCAGTGAGTCAGTTGAGGCAGGCGACTCCCGCTTTCCCATTTCCCGCTTTTATTATTAAAATCTTGTTGAGGGGCTTCGTACCAACCGCCATGAAATACATCATTCCCCCTTATAATATTATCACCAAAATTTTGTTACAACATACTAGTAGTTTTTTTTTTTTTTCCAAACCACCATATAGTTTAATACTTATCATAATATAATAAAAAATAGTAATAAAATAAAAAAAGAAAAATTTATTTGTTAGCTATAAAATTAGTGAATTATTATTTAAAAATTTGATTGAAATGATAAATAAAAAACTGAAATCTCAAATCAAAGAAAACTCGTAAATTATTAGTAATGTTCTAATTACAGAATATCAAAAGATTGTGTCTTCAAGGTATTTATTTAGTAATCAATTTATTTATTAACTTTTATAAATATATTTAACAAACACGGTCAATCATTTAAACGTTATGTGAAATTTAAAACTTTATTATTAACATACAAAATATTTTATTTTATTTGAGGTTGAATTTTTCATAAATGTAAATGTACAATTCAATGAATAAAATGATAGCTGTATCCTTAACAATCTTGATTTGTAAATTTAATCTATTAAAATAATGATTAATTTTAGTTAGCACGATGATGATGCATCAACAAGCTTAAAATTTCAACAAACTTTATTTGCAATAATAAAAAAAAAAAAACAGAGTTTTTATTAAAATTTTAATGTTTTATTCAAATGGCTCATTAATTAAAACGAGATAAAAAATAATAAGTTTATATTATTTAAGTTTAAAATTTTTTAAAAATATATTTATAAAATGATTTTTTTTGTTGTAAGAATATAAAAATTAAAAATTTAAATAATTAAATTTAATTAAATTTTGATCGAAATTTATTATATGCATGTGAAATTGTATGATATGATATGTATCAATTTACTTGTACATTGATAAATATTTCATTGATTTATAATAAAATCAAATCTGCATATAAAATATATATCGATTTCATTGTGAATAAAAAAAATGACACATGATTTTAATTGAATTTGACCGAATTCACTATAAACATATCGAATTATAACATATAATATAACATGGATTCGCACATGAATAGAGAGAGGTAATACGTATCCATTGGATGGTTAATCGAATAGTATGATTTTTAGAACTACTAAAAGAAAAAGCTAATTTTCATTTAGGCTACGAATTTGCCGACCCGACGGGAGAAGCGTAATCAAGTGCCGCTTAAATTGCCCAATTAAAAAATGCTCATTATTTATTTTCGTCGATAACTCTAGAAATTATTACTTTTGAAAAAGAAAAAGAAACTGCTCCCTAACTCTATATCATCTCTTGCTCTTTCTTGGGATCCACTTTAACTCACAGTTAATATAATTTTTTTTTTATTTTTATTTAAGATGGTTAAGATCTATATATATATATATATATATATATATGGTTTATTTGTAGGAGAAGAAAAAAGAAAAAAGAAAAGAAAAAAAGGAAAGGGAAAGCGAAGGAACGGAAATCAGTTAGCGTAACCACTGAGTAGGAAGTAAGAGAGACAGGCACTTTGTTTGTACCACCGATTATTATTTCAATAATAATCCTGCTCTCCCAACTCCCACCACTCTGCCTCTATCCCTTTTTCTTCTTTTATTATTTCTTCTCCCTTCATTTTTTGTTCTATCTGTCCGTTTCCTTCCTTTGTTTCTCTATTTCTATCTATCTTTGTTTTGTTTTTTTTTTTTTTTTTTTTGAGGCCAATAGTTTCAGATCCTAAATGATCGCTTCGTCTCTTTGATACCTTCTCCAGAAACGTTACATTTTGAGGTACCTTTTTATTTCTTTATTTTTTTTGACTTGGTATTTCGTTCTATATATTGTATTTGTTTATGGTTTTACTTTTTTTTTTTTTTTTTTTTTTTGTTTCTGGATAATTGAAGCTTGGTTTGGAATTGCGCGATCTGGGCTGTTACTTTTGTTGGAACTGACTCAATAGAGCTTTCACATCGCAGGTAACATGTTTTTGATTGTTGGGTTTTTCATGCCTTTGATGATGTTTTCTTCAGATTATTTTTTTTTAATTTTATTATGTTGGGAGATTAATCGGAATCGTAAAAGAGATCTGAATCTCGAGTTTGTGTAAGATTATTACTCTTTGAACAAGGTCAAAACTGGATTGATATTTCTGGTTTTCTTTTCCTTTTTTGATCTTAATAGTTTCCTTTCCGCATAATCCATGCCACCGCTTCCTTCTTGTCCAGGTTTTACCTTTGCTTATCTATCTTTGAATATCATGGAATTTCTTTGTAACCAAAGAAATCATTTAAAAAAAAAGTTGTAATTTTTCTATGAAGCAATATCAATAATTTAGTAGTCCTTTTTTTCAAGCTTGATTTTTGAGACCATCACAAAAGCATTGGCACTTAATTTGAAGATTAAAGACAAATTAAAGACAAAAATGAATGGAAAGAAAAAAGCAAAATAAATAAATAAATAAAATTTCAATAAAAAATAAAGACAAATAACAAAAAGCGAAAAGTAAAAGCCTTTGCCTAACGGAGTCTTAATGTTTCATTGTAGACATTGTTTCAGTTTTAACCAAATCTAACAAAATCTTCTCAAATTTCAATTTCTATACTAAATAGATTTCAATTTCAAACTTTCAAAACCCTATCATTTTTCTGAAGCCATCCATTATTAGTAGATTACCGTCAATTATGAATCATATATATAGTATACTAATATGGCCAAAGGATATCCATATATGTAATACACTTGTCTTTATTTATAATACATACTAATAAACATAAAAACTAGATTCAATTATAATAATAGAAAGATTTTATTTTTTATTCTTTTTAATCATAATTAATAAGGATAATATTCAAAATTATATAAAATTATAGTAGTAAAGAAAAAAGATTTTAAAAGATAATTTAAATTATAAAATTAAAATAAATTAATAATTTGTTATATTTATTATCTTTATTAAATTAATTTTTTTAAAATAAAATTGTACTTAATTTAAGTTCGGGTCATTTTTGGGTTTTGGTTGTTTTCGCGTTCAGATTGGATGGTTTCAAATTATTGATTTTTTCTAATCAAATCGGATTGAGTTGGGTTTGGGTGGATTGAGTGGTTTTTTTCGAGTTCCGATTAGATTTGATAGGTCTAATCACATACTGCATCAGCTTAGAGTAAGGTGTTTCTTTGACACATTTGTATTTGAATTCCTAAAAACTTCCTAACCTTTGATATGAATGGGGTTCACCTACTTTTATGTGCATGAACTTTTAGGTAATTAACCATGTGTGGTCCTTGTAGTGTTTGATAGAATATAGAAATTGGCATAGCATTTATTCTGAACCTAATAGCAGGAAGACAATTACATGATCAGTTTGTTTTTCATTCTTGAATATATAGATTAGTAGATATGTATTAGTAGTGTATTGTCATTGATAAAAAATTTATATAGGATCATGTATCTCATAAATGTTGAGTATAATTGGACATTGCATTATGGCGATGTCTAAGGCGGAGACAGTGAACTCTTATCCTGGACTAATTGTGCTATATTTCCAAGTCTGAATTCATTTGGCTAACATTAGGAGAATGATTTTACATGTCATAGTAGGTATGAGAAGTACCTTTGATTGAACATTTTGTTGGATCTGACTGTTATGCAGGCTTTCTTCAACATTGCTAGAATTTTCACAATTGCCAGCTTGATAATTTGGATTTTAACTGCATTTCCTTTTCTTGTGCAGGCAAATTCTCAGTTGTCGATTCTCTTCAAAGAGCTATATAAATTACAACAGTTTAGGTTTTATATAGGAAAATGTTAGGAGGCAACAATGGCAATGCTGTGCTTCCAATTTTCCTGGATGAGAATCATCTTCAGTATCAGACAAATGCATCAAATCAACTGCAGTTATTTGGAAGCTGTAAGTTATTTCTTTCATTTATTTAGCAATTAGATCACTGTCCTATTTTTTCAGGCAAAACCACACAAATCCATCCTCTTTTTTCTGAATTTTTTAATGGTAACTGTTCCATATTTTGTTAAACTTTCAGTGCCAGCTGGGTGTACTATTGATCCTGTGAATTATTTTGGAAATGAGCATCCTGCTCCCATGATTCGACCCAATAAAAGAGGCAGGGAAACAGAAGATATTCAAAGGCAGCAAAAGTTACAAATTTCCTTGAATTGTAACATTTGTAAAGAGGAAGCTGACCGTTCTGCTAGCATTCCAAATCCTAATGCTGTGTCAACTGGCTTACGGCTATCGTATGATGATGATGAGCGGAACTCATCTGTGACTTCTGCTAGTGGAAGCATGACACAAGGACCATCAATGATCTTGTCACTCAGTGACAGTGTTAGAAGCGAACTTGATCGTCAGAAAGAGGAATTTGATCAATTCATCAAAATTCAGGTACAATTGTGGTATTGCCCCAGCAGGAAAAATAAAATGTCACCTTTCAGTCTTCTGTCAATATCTGGGGTTCTTTATTATAGAATCAAAACAGTTTAATTGCAATCAAATGCTCTTCTTTTCTCTGAAATTTCGAACTTTGGGTACTCCTCTTCTATGGACCAATTCCTTGTTTAGGTTAACTGATACGTAGCATAGTAGTACTTAATATCTCGTACTTATGTTCATGCATTTGCTTTTGGCTGGCCCAAAGGCACTTAATGCTTTCTTTGTTTACTATAATCCAGATGAATCTTCTGCTTGGAGTTATCCTCACTTCTATGCTTGTAACTTCTATTGTGATAATGTCATAGTATTTCATAGTCAATAAATTTCACATGCTCATGTATGTTATGAAAAGTTAGTATAGATTTAATTGGATATTGGTTTAAATGTGATGGTATGATGTGTGGTTCTTTGGAGCTTTTTATTCATTTTATTCTCTTAATCAGGAAGAGCACTTGACAAAGGGAATAAGAGACATGAATCAGAGACACACGGCTTCTTTTCTTGCTGCTATTGAGAAAGGCATCAGCAAGAAGCTTAGGGAGAAGGACATAGAACTAGAGATAATGAATCGCAAGAATAGGGAACTGGTTGAGAGAATAAAGCAGGTGACTATGGAAGCCCATAATTGGCATTATAGAGCAAAATACAATGAGTCGGTTGTTAATGTCTTGAAGAGCAACCTTCAGCAAGTAATCTCACAAGGTGCTGAGCAGGTGAAGGAAGGTTTTGGAGACAGTGAAGTTGATGATGCTGCCTCTTATATTGATCCGAACAACTTTCTCAGCATTACTGTTGCTGCTGCAAAATCTGTTTCCAGGAATCATGGCATGAAGGAACACATGATTTGCAGAGCATGCAAGGCAAAGGAGGTGTCCATTTTGTTGATGCCGTGTAGGCACCTTTGCTTGTGTAAAGACTGTGATGTACTAATCAGTGTTTGTCCTGTATGCCAGGTAATGAAAACGGCTGGTGTCCAAGTGTACTTATCTTAAACCGTGAAACAAATTACACAGAAGATGAAAAATTTATATCCTTTCTTCCGTATGACGCGCCAGCATTTTCTTTCCCCCGACAGACAATGTATGATGAAAAGTAAAGGATTTCTTGGAATGGATTTCCCTAACGTGAGCAAAACATCCTTGTTCCTCTTATGTCATTTTGCATGTGATGCGCACGATGCTAGGTGTTCCCCATGTCTTAAGGTTTGTCTGTTAAAGTGTTGGTAATTGCTAAGAAAAAGTGTTTTTAAATTGGATCATTAAATCGTTAAACTTAAGCTTAGGGACAAGGGTTCCGAGTCTCCCAAGGGAAGGTGAAGACACGTTCAAGGATGATGGCTAATTGGTGGTGGGTGTGGGCCGTGTATTTCAATATTCTAATTTCCTCCTACTTTTCTCTTTGGCGGTTGGCCATTTTCCTCCCTTTTGAATCAGTCTTTTTTGATTCTCGCACGTAGACTCAGCAGACGGTGCAATAGTAAGTTACTAACCATTATGCCTTGGCTGCGAAATTAGAGCGCAACAGTGAGTCAGGATTGTCGTTGGCCAAGCCTGCAGCTTTGCTCTTGATGTTCTGACATGTACGCAAAGAGAAAGAGGTGAAAAGAAAAACAGGTAAAAATTAAAAAGAGAGAGAGAGCGCTATAGACTGAGTAAGCTGGGAGTCTCATATTTGTCTTTATCATTGTTGTCTACTTTGTATGTAACATTTCGATAAAATAATATTTTTTCCCCTCTTCTAAGTTTTCTTGTTTGCAATGCCTAACGATGGTGGTGCAGGCAAGTCCAGTGACAAACTTGGAGAAGATCAAAGTTTCTGATCAATGTAACTGACATTGTCGATAAAGCTCGTCCCAAAACCAAAAACTGTCTCCACTTCCCTTTCCAGCTATGATGCTACCCTTCTTGCGTTCCTCCTTTTTCTGCCCTTCTTGTACACTGTGCTTTCCCAGTAAACTAGGTACACCATAACAAACGGCAAACAGACAAGACCTTCCACCCCATTTTTGCAAAGTAGTACTTTCCTGAATTTACAGTCAGAACTCCCAAACCAATTTAATTACTACTTACTATGTTAGTAATTCTTTCAACCTCATTATTAGTATAGAAAACCAAGTGAATTTTTCAATGCCAAAGACATTCTTTCTACTTGCCAAATAGTTAATTACACATAAACCAAATGATGTTTATGTTGAACTGTACCAAGATTTACAACATATGTGACGACTAAATGAAGGATATCATGGGCAGTAAAAAACAGTTGTGGCAAAGATAGAATTAACACACTTTTCACGTTCAGCCCCCTACTCCATTCTAAAAATTTCTTCAGATTCTTTTTCTATTGTCCACTCGTGTTTTCTTGGGTGCAGGTCCAGCTTGTAAGTGCTCAGTGCTTGATTGAATCTAAAGCAATTGGGAAGTAAAAGAAAAAAAAATTACTATAAAAAATATATGATAATTTCTTCTCAAAAGGCAATCATGCAGTAAAGGGATTTCTACCACCTTGTTAAGTTTGTCCCTGACCATTTTAACTGCCTGATTCATTGACTGGGAAGGGAAGTAATCCTGAAAGCAATTCCAAGAGGAAAGATGAATATCAGCAAAGGGCAAATATTTGTCAGGCAAATAACAACTATGCATAAAAGGTCGAAGTTATAAATCAATAAAAAAAAAAAAAAGAAAAAGACCGACAATATTAGCAGAATTCTATATGTGCTGTCCAAAAGATTCAAGTAGAGTAACCAAAACAAGAAAAAAAAATCTGACAAATCAAAATATTTAACACAAGGTAAAAACACCAACCAGATGAAAAGTTGGTGTTCAATTTAACTTGCAGATTAATAAATCCCCACAGAATTAAAATGGATATTAGGCCTTACTATCAAGCAAATCAACAGCTAGAAAGGATAAAGAGAATTTTACACCTAGCATTCAGAATGTCTACAACTTCAAAATTTTAATGCACGAGAGTCTGCAATTGTTGGACAGTTCACTTGGGTACAATGCCTGAATGGCAAATATGGGGGAAAACATGATTTGGTGACAAATCAATCTCTCTCCACAAAGTAAAAAGTTACACTACACACAGAATTTCTTCCTTCAATTGCCCAAAATCCATAATAGCAGGCGACAGAAGAGACAGAAATGGCATGTGAATGAATAACTAAAGCAAAAGTAAAGCCACCAAGGGTGAAAGTGAGAATAATGCAACAGTGACTTGAACAAATATCTATATTTAAAATTATACCAATCCCAAAAGACAAGAACCTTTTTTTCTAATGTTTTAAATCTACTAGGTTATCTTGTTCTTTATGCAAGTCCATAAGCACTATGCCAGATGCACAATAGAAACAGTGTACATACTCAAGAAGGACATGTACTCTGCCCTAATGGAAGCAACTGGACCTAACTCAATCCCACTTGGGTTTAGAAACTGAAAACCAGTTAAGCTGGAGCATATACTCAATAACATGTACTGGCATAGCCTTAGGAGTTACTTCATCTTAAGTCTTAACCAACTACTGAGTTACCATGAGCCACTGCCAGTAAACAGTAAACTTTAACAGGCAAATATGTAATAAAGAAAAATAAAGAAAGAAAAAAGAGGTAATGGCCCTTGTTACTTAGTAACCAGTTCACTTCAGTTTTATAATCTAATTAGAATGGTAAACAAGATAAAAGAGCAAAATCTGGGATGACATTGAAGATAAGTAGTCCACACCTTGTCAGATGACACTCTGGTTAATGGATTATTAATAGTGTGAGACTTGTAATCTGAATCTCCAACACCCCTATAGAGGAAAAATCATAGTTTATGTAGATAAAGAATGCACAAAGCCAACAACGATGAAGATAGCAGTGTGAATTTGAGCAGCATATTTACCTCAGCCTAGAATTTGTCTGCTTGGGAAGTTGTTGAGATGAAGCAGCAAGGGATGGAGCCTCATTGGAAGTGAACGGATTATGAACTGGATGCCCTTTAGATCTTTGAGCTGATATCACAATATACCAACATAATGTGTACGAGAAAATATTATCCCAACTAGGAAGCAGTTCTATTTGAAACAGATAAAGTTTTTTCCTATCATACGTAAAACATAGATACATTAAAAAGCTAACATTTTAAAGTAATGTAAAAGCTTACGCTTCAATCTTGCAAGGACTTCCTTTCTTCTGCCTTCTAACTTATCCTTAGTGTCATCAAGGCTCTCAAATTGAGGAGCATATGAGACCTGCAAACGGTTCCCCAAGAAAACAAACTCGTCCATTTTTTTCTTCGCAAACCTATTTTAGAAAATGGTTAACCAAATATATAAATTTTCAGTTTTTCAACAATTTGCACGTTTACCTATTCACAGAACTCAAAATATCTTTCTAACAGGGGTACATTCTTGAAGGATTCAACTCCTCTCAAGTCCATTGAATGGATTGGAGACAAGGCTGCAGGTTAATACATCAATGCTCAGAAATTTCCATATATATACATTTTGCTATTATCCTTATTTCAAAGAAAAAGAATTGACCCTTCCTCTTCCCTCATTGTCATTTCATTCTCATCTTTTCTTTGCAAATGTTTGAACTATCTTAATTCATTAACCAACAACTTTTCCATCATGCATAGATTCATTTTTTTATGTATCTTCTTTGTTTCCTTATGTGACTTTATCTCTCTAGTTTGATGTCTCTAGGAGAGGCAAACAGCAAGCAAATCAAGTTTCATGATGAAGAACTCATTAAAATAAGATTTCCTAACTAAATCAGAATGGCTATTGCAACCTTTGAAAATAATCTATTTAAATCAAAAGCTTCAAGGATGGGATCCTATGCTTAAATCCAAAGCCTTTCAAAATAATTTGGTTTCTCAAAATTGTAATGGTTAACTCTGAATAGATTCTTGAACTAGCATAGTTCAGTTATGATGCCACATAATTCACCCAACCACTATATGACAGGTGCAAGAGCAAACAAGAAGAAAACATGTGCTGGAATGAAATTTTCTTTCAAGAAATAGATAGGAAAATTCATAGAAAGAACATGGCAAATTTCTTAGCATTAAGGATTTCAGCCTAATACAAAAGTCTTAATCCTAAATATGGACTGCCCTCACAAGTCCATTTTATGTACCGGAGAGGATCTGAATCCATTATTGACTAAGTACATGAAACACTGTGATAATTATGGATTAAAAATGCTAGAACAAGTTTAATGACCTGGCATTGCTGATGAGTCGAAATTTGATCCAATAAACATCGGTAAATTGCTCACAATCTTCTGCATCCATCGGTTTGCATCTGAAAGGCAAAACAAAACCAGGAACTGGAATCATCAAGGGTTTTCAAATCAGAATAGAAGTATATATTTTATAATGAAAAGTTAAAAGAAAAAATAAGAGGAGAGAGAACTTACTTACTCTTCAACGTCTCCATAAGTAGCGAAGAGTTTCAACAAGTCATCGCCACATCCCAGCGAGGGAACGTTCCTCACAATCAAATATCTATCTACCAAAAATCCAAAAATTAATAATAAAAAAGGGATAAATTTGTGTTTCTGGGTAGCTAGTCGTCCACTTCAATTTTGGGGCTTTTTGATGGTGCGATTAAAACAACTTCAATTCTTTCAATAAATTAGCAAAAATGTCGACAAAACTATTGGTAATTGAACAATGAAAGAATTCACCTGGATTCGTCGCAGACTGTATAGACGCGAACCGCCGGGGGTTCGTCTTTGTAACGAGGCATGCTGAGAATTGTACTTGTTGGCTTTTTACCTCCGAAACCCACCACCGCCCACCGTTCTGATTCCGTTGCAATCGCAAATCTGAACATGCGTTTAAATTATTTATTCTTTGGGCCTTTTGGTGCCCACCAAAAGAATTTAGGTGGCCCAAGACTTACACCTTATTTGCCACATCTTTTACTCCTTATATAGTAAATTATATAATAATGAGTTTATAAAAAAATCAAATTTAAATATATACTAGCAGAAATACCCGAGTGATGTTGCGGATTTAATTTTTTTTTATCATCTCTATTCATTATTTTTTGTGTAAAATTCATCTAATTTAAAACAAAATCAGATGATAAAAAAATAAAATATAAGTGATAAGTAAATAACCGAATACTTAAATAAAACTCTTATTCATCCCAAGCTTTTAATTTATGCGTTTAAGAGAATATCAAAGATTTAATTTCGAATAAATTTTTTTTATTTGTATTAAAATTTTATTCTCTTAATATAACAAAAAAAAATTCTTATTCTCACAAAATATATTTAATAAAAAATATAAAATACAAAAAAATAAAAAAGGTCATAAGGTGTCACGAGTAATTCTATTGATTTGAAATATTAATTTTTTAAGTTAAAATATTAAATAGTAATTTTAAAATTATAATACATATATATATATATGAATATAAAATTAAAATAATTACAATATATATATATATATATCCAACAACTTTAGCAAAAATAAAAAAAATTAAGTTATCAGGATATATTAATAATGATAAGCTGTTCTAAATAAATTTATATCATTAATTTAAAATTTTAAAAAAATAAAAAAATGTGACATAAACTTCTTTATTAATATCTTTTTTTTTTTAAATATTTTTTAAAAATATATTTAAAAAATATAATCTTTCAAAAAATATATTTTATAATTTTTTTAAAAAATATTATAAGTGGATCCCACACTTATCTATCCGGATAAGACCCACTTATAGTATTTTTTAAAGATACTTTAAAAAAATTATATATTTTATATATTTTAAAAATTTTCAAATGATTTAACATGTGATATACTAACATACTATTGATATAAAATGTGTCCAAAAATATAAAAATTATTTATTAAACATAGAGAAATAAAAAAAACAAAAAAACAAAACAAACATGTGACATACCAAGATATCAAATGGATCTGATAAAAAATAAAATCTAAAAAATTTTTATTAAATATTTTTTTAAATAAAAAAAGTTATAAAAGATAAAAAATAAAAAATAGAAAAAAGTTCGTTGTAAGCGATTGCACATGTAAAAAATAAAATATCTTAACTTATATATTTTTATATTTTAAAATAATATTTATTTAATCGTTAAAAAAATTTAAAAAAAAAAAACTTAAAATGACATGCGAGGGAATAATACTATTAATTGCACATTATTCAAGTGAATCTTATAAAAAAAGCTTAAAATAAAAAATTAAATATTTAAAAAATAAAAAACAAAAAATTGATATAAGTGAATCCTACACATAAATAATTTTTTAAAATATATATTTTTTATAATTTAAGATAAACATTTATTAAATATTTTAAAAGTAAAAAAACTAAAAAACAAAAAAGTCAAAAATTAAAAAAAGAAACCTAAAAAGCAAAAAAAAAAAACCCAGAACATGATACGTGGCAGCTTAAAAAAGGTAACTGCTTATCTTACATGACCAAAATTTAATTATTAAATGATTGAGTGTATTTATTTTTAAGATTTAAAAATTTTAAATTTTTTTATCAAAATATACATATGAATTATAATCCTAATCGAATGGGGTAGTGGGCCTAATGGCATGGCCCATCTTGCCCATCAAACGGGCTCATCCAAAGGAAACAAAACCTTAATTCTTAAGCCATGATTAGAACCAATAATTGACTGCCACGTGCGCAACCAACATCACACGCCGGTCGCTTAAAAAAAACAGTAAACAAAGAGTTGACAGATGACGTACCGAGAAACACTTTTCTGAGTTCTGTTTGTGTCTGTGGCGAGGATTGTTCTAACTTCAAATCTTAGGAATTAGGATCAGTCAAAACTCGTGGCATTTACTTAATGAGTTAATCAAACGAGGTCGTTTGCTTTTTGCGGCTGCCGATAAATCGAACTCCCTAGACAGTTTCATTCAAACTTATAATTGTCGCTGAGGCAAAAATCTTTTTGATTACCAGTTAATTTTCGAACCTTCCATGTCTCATGTTTTTGTATGTTCGATGTTTTCAACTTCTGCTGTTTCTGCATTTTTGATGGTAATATAAAAATCCAAATCCTAATAATCTGTTCTGCGATTTTTGTGTTGTTTCGGTTATGTTGCTTTTCAACGACCAACTTTTTTTTTTTTTTAAATTCAACCTGGTTCTGGTTTTTGTTTTTGTTTTGGAAGATAAGATATTTCTGTGAATGTCGAATCTTTAATGTTTGTTTTGGGTGTGTACACTTTTCATGTTGCAAACAACTTTATCTGATCGATTTAAACTAATGAAGTTTCATTCGCTTTTGTTGCTTCCTCCGCTTTCACTATTGCTTTGCTTTCTTTTTTTTTTTTTTAATTTTTTCACGTACTCTTCTGGAGTCATATCAAGATAAAGAACAAGAATATTAATATTGCTCCTTTAAGTCGAGGCTTGTATTTTGCCAAAAAAAAGCCCCGGTTTGAATTGAACATTCTTTCAATGAACTACAAACCAAAAATAGTCCTGGTTTGAATGGATTTGGAATTGATTTTTCTGTCTTTCTATTTGAATAAAAGTTCTTTGATACTATACTTATAGCGCTTGCCGACATAGGGCGAATTCTAGAAATATTCTCGGACTTTTTCTTTGTTACTCGTTGTTGGTTTTGTCCCCCCCCCCCCCCCCTTTCCCCAGAAAATGTTACTATTGATGGAAGATTTTGCTGCTGTATCAGGACGAATATCTGATTGTGATGGTTTTTTGCTTGTGTTTGGTGTTTCATAAAGGTGAGGGGTTGGTGAATAGACTGGCATTATTAATAGTGTTCACTGAAAATTGGGTATTGCTTCAGTTTCCAAGACAAGAAGAAGGACCAAAGGCTGTTACTATTCATGTAACTGGATTTAAGAAGTTTCAAGGGGTTGCTAAAAATCCAACTGAAACTATAGTTAATGACTTGATGAGTTTTGCTCAAAGTAAAGGATTGTTGGCTGCTGGTGTTAATCTCGGGAGTTGCACTGTTCTTGAGACTGCAGGCAATGGTGCTCTTCCCGTTCTTTACAAGGTATTGGAATCAGGCATCTCAAGAATTGACACAAAAAATGAGCAAGTTATATGGGTTAGTTTCTATTATGCAGCTTTATATATGTTTTCAAAGTCGCTTATGTCTTGCTGCTTTTACTATTTAGACTTGGAAATTTTCATAAATTCATATTTAAAAGTTAACTAATCTTACCTACTTTCATTGCCAATTTTAATTGTGTATAGTTATTTAATGATGTTGGTGACAACTGACAACTTGTCAGTTTGATATAGTAACCAGAGGAGTCTTAGGATGCCTTCTCTAAAATAATCGCTAAGATGACCTGAACATTTCAAACAGAAATTTCACATAAAGCCTATGAATATTTAAGAAAAAAAAATGCATAACAAGTGTGTCCCATGCCTACTTAACCTATGACTGGAAATGTTTGGTTGTTTATCTTTGATATTTGATGTCCTTTTCATCTTATTTTCCCCATTTTTCCCTTTGATTTTGCTTTGAATGCCCTTTGCTATTAATTGAAATGGTTTGAGATCATCCATATTGACTATCCAGTGAACTCTATCTGGGGAAAGATATTTTTATAAAGGATCTATGCGGATGTACATTCTATTCATGGAGTCAAGTGTTTTCTGAAATGACATTTGTTGATCTAATAGACCTCAATTTTATTGTTTCTTTAGCTTCACTTGGGGTTAACAATGGAGCACAGAAAATTGCCTTTAAACAGCTAGCTGTAAATGAAGCCACTTTCCATTGTCCAGATGAGCTAGAATGGCAACCTCACGTGAATGCACTTTTTCTTTTAATCTTTATATGCAAAGTCCTTTATGTTCTTTTTTTTGTTTTGTAGTCTGTTGTACTTAAATTTCCCTTTGAATGTTTCCAGCAATTCCCAATTGTCACAGAGGATGGAGGAACTTCCAGGAAAAGAAAGTTAATTTCTGATCTTTCTCAATATATTATTTAGGTTTGTCATATTTTACACACCACTATATCAAAGGTACCTATCTCGTGGCTACTGTCGCCTGGTATTACTTATTGAACATCTTTAGTTGAGGAATTTAATGGGGTAGTTTCTATTTCACCTGAAATATTTAACATAATTCACACCTACGAGGAAGTATTTATGCATCCCTATATGTCATTCTGTTTGTTCCTTTGCTTTGTAATGTTGTAGATATTCGCTGTCCCGACCCTGTTTCTCTTCCATCCAGTAAAAAGAAACCTTGTTTAACGTAGTGAATCTTTTGGTTCTTGAAGACGACTTGTTCCATCGAAGCAATCCTCAAGTTTTTAAAGAACAAGGGCTATGATGTGACATTATCCAATGATGCGGGCCGTTTCATATGCAATTATGTCTACTAACACTCTCTCAAGTTTACAGAACTGAAGGATCACAGATCTCTATTTGTTCATGTTCCCCTCTTCTCGAAAATTAATGAAGAGACGCAGATGCAATTTGTAGCTACCCTTTTTGAGGCCATTGCATCAACCTGCTAATATTAAGTGATTTTTATAATTTATTCAAATTTTCTTATTTGTTTGCCTGCTGGTGTGTGCAAACCCTGATTTTCAACCTGAACGATGCTTGCTTCTTGTGAGGCAAATGATCATCCTTGTTTATGTATACTAGTGTCTTGCCCATGCTGCGGGACTGTTACTATTAAATGTATAAATAAAAATTAACATAAATATACAATAGTGTATCAATATATATTTAGTATTAGTGTTTGTACATATTTTTATAAACAAAATACATATCAACAGCACTTTCACAAATTGAAAACTTTTTTTTTTTTTTTACAGTTAAAAATTAAAAAATAATTTGAATACAATTTACCGATGCAATGCAAAATATGGTTTAGAGACATTTTTATCCAAGTTATGGTACTAAAAAAGAATGAAACTGAATGCCTTAAATTTGAGTAATTTTGTACTAACA